GGCTTGGCAGACGACGACGCACCTGCCGAAGGCACTTCTTCTGGCCCTGTGGAGCCGGCGACTATCGTATATGTGTTGCATCCCAACTGCGCTGTTGAGGAGTTTTGAGTCGAGGGCGGCGTAGACTGGGCCCGTGAATGATTCTGATGAGAAAGAAAACAAAAAGCTGAGAGTATTGTCTGCGACATGTTGGACCTTTTTCATGTGAAGCCTTGGAGGGGATAATGTTGTCGAGCTTGGTTCGTTTTGTCAAGCTTGGGAGTTGGGGCGTTCGGCCACGTAAGGTAGGCCTTGCTCGTCGATGATGGACATAGATGCAGAAAGAAACTTTCGAATATCACGAGGTCTTCATGGTCGTCCAATGCTCATCTACCTCTAAACCTTCATATGTGTGACACTAGGTTCGGACAACATCCGTATTGTCGATCAGATCAATGACACGCGGACCATCCACAATGATATATTGTTATTGAACCCAAGCATCTGAGAACGGCACACTCTGTATTTGGAACATTGGTTTTGTGTGCTAAGATCAATTTGGCGCATCGTCAACTTGAGTGCCGATAAGCTGTGGAGTATTTCAGAGTCCGTTCATAGAGACACTTCTGTATACCAGGAGTATCAGCACATGCTGCTGAATCTTCAAAGTATAAGAAGCTCCCCATGTCCAAGGTTACGTTCTTGGAAGCGCCATTCTCCATCCACCGGCTGGGAGACGAGTCCCTTTCCTCTTCCACGAGCGAGCACTGTTGGGTCACTTATTACTTTAAACACGGAATCCACTCTGGGTGTGTTTTGACGACGACGAAGTTCGGGCGAGTAAGAGCAAGATAGAACCAATGGTGCAAAAGCATATATCCGAACCAACGCCCCTCGCTCGCCAGCTTTGGCTGTCGACGGCGTATATTCCAACGTATACTCTGACGACGATGAGCTTCGATGGAAAGAGCCACCGTCTTAGAGATGGTGTTGATAAATTATTGAAACGAAGCAGGTTGATGACCAGGCATGGAAAAACGGTCACCCCAGCACGAAGTACGGATACAACCAGCTTCCCAGCGAGCAATTGAAAAGGACAAGACCAAACACGTTTCTGGGCCAGTCCATTAATTTCACTGTCAAATACTCTTTTATACTGGATATCCGCAGAGCCGACGGTCGGGACGTGCAACACGGGTACGTGGGCACTTACGACCTCGAAAGCTACCCAACAGCAGATGCAGATCCGAAGTTGCCAGTGCAGCGATTCCGGGGCAAGAAACGATCGTCACACTGAAGACGAATATATTTTTTTGACCCGGCTCCCACCTTCGCAACGCCTTGCCTTGCAGTCATCTGAGGCCTCAAAATCCCTGGCGCAGTTCAAGGACTTGCTTGAAAACAAGGGTATATGAGAAGTTGACGACTATACTCTGGAAGTATATCCTCCTATCCCTAGCTGTGCCCCCCCCCCCCCCCCCCCCCCCCCCCACCCCCCCCCTCCCTTCGCTTTTTTCTGGGCCTCAAAATCCCTGGCGAGGTTGAAGAATTTTTTTGAAAACAAGGGTAATTGAAAATTTGGCCACTAATTTTTGAAAATATTCCCCCCCTTCCCCTCCTTCCCCCCCCCCCCCCCCCCCCTCCTCCTCAGCTTATCCGTAGCGTATTTCCGATAGGCGACGAGGGGAAGAAGATAGGATTGATGTTTTCAGCAGGAACTAAGTAGGACACTCTCCACCTACCGTATTCCAGTGTTGAAACCTCATAGTTGCGACAGATATCGCGAATAGGATTCTTCTGAGCCAAATGAGCTCATATGGCCCCCGCAAGCGATAAGCTTGGAGGAGAATTTACCGCTCCTAGCTATAGACCTCTCTTCTATATCGCCGGGAGGCGGGAGGGTGGACGAGAGGCATTAGGAGCATAATGCAATGCGGTTTGGACTGATGACAGAGATGATGGCCGGCAAGAAGGATATACACGGGTTTCGCTTTTGGTTCAGAAGTCTTATCTCAAGAATGATTAAACTGTCATGTCAGCTGATTTGGGCGAGGCTGACATTTTTAATAGAAGCATCAGATATATATGTTTAAATTGGTCTTATTCATGTCCGTCACGCGACGAACCTCCTGGGAATATATATACAATGTGCAGGCTGGGTAGGACAGAGTCCCCAATCCCGTCCAGAATACTCATCAGCTCAAAAACTAAACATTGCTGGAAAGACGAGAGCCAAGAATAGACCTCATTATTTGGCCAAGCTTAGCTTCGCTGGAGTAAGAAGGGTTGAAACCGACTCTTGGTCTTGTTGTTTTTTCTCTTGCTTTTCTGCAGCTACTTTGTTCTTCGGGTCTTCAATCATCTGGCAATTATCTTTAGAAAAGGGATATAACTCTATTGATGCAGCATAGATGCCAGTCACCACCTCCCACGTCATGTCATGTCGTGTCATGTCATGACCAACTGATTAACCGTCGCGTCTATATACCCAACTCGCCATACCTAAAAGTCAATGCCACATTTAGATGGTATACGGCTTCGCGTCAGTAAAGATCAAGTGAGGCTTCCTCTTAGCCAGGTCGAGAATCGTCTCGGCAAAGACGCCGTTGGCCCCTATCAAAAGTCAGCATCACAGCTCACAATGTCGTCAAAACCAGGTATTTTAGTGTCTTACATGCGAACCAGCTTCCTGTATTATGTGATTAGCATGATAGTTGGTGAAGCGGGCTCGACGAGACTTACGAGTATAAGCAGAAATACGTCCGACATCAACACTCTCGTGAACCAAACCGAGCTTAGCAGAGTTCAGGACAAAGTCAAGACACTCGGTAATTTCCTGGTCATTCTCGGATGTCTGCGCCTGGATCAAAAGACTCATTGGCCAGGCGTTGGAGAGCCCAATATGGGGTCCTGGAACACCGTCAGTTTCAACACACTCCGACGTATCAAAGACAAAAGACTCACCTCCGATTCCATGGAAGGCAGCACCCTCGAGGTAGTAAGGGTTGCCAGTCTTCTCCAAAAGCATCTTCCTGGTGTTCTTGTACGTCTGATCATCCGCAGGCAAGAACCCCATGAGAGGAAGCGCCAGCAGCGACGGGTAATTCGCATCATCCATGAGAATGGACGAACCGTACCCGTCAACCTCGTACGCAAAGACGTCTCCGTACTTGGCGTGCTTGACCACACCATTATTCCACACGCCGTCAGCGATTGTCTGGCTCCACTTGTCCACCGTCTGCGCGAGGACGTCCTTGCCGGCCGCCTTGAGGAATATGGACGTGCGCTTCAGCTCCACGGCCATCATGGCGTTCGCCGGAATAAAAAAGCCGAGGATCGTGGCGTCATCGCTGGGCCGGAAAGCAGACCTCACGAGACCCGTGCCGTTGTTCAGCGGGTTACCGACGCCCTTGAGGTTCAGCGTCTCGGTGCCCGCGTCCGTCTTGCGCTGGAAGGTGTACTCGTTCTTCTGGAAGCGGCCCGTCTCCGGGTCGAACGTGGAGCGGGACTGCTCCTCGAGTACGTTGAGCACCGTCTCGAGAGCCATGAACCACCTGCCCGTCATGAAGTCCTTGGACTCGGTGTGCTCGTAAAAGTCGTTGCCCAGCGCGAGGAAATGCGCCAGCGAATCCAGCTCGTACTTGCACTCGAACACAAACGAGGGCTCGTAGATGGGGTGCACCGTGTCGTCCTGTCCGTTGTGGCTCGGCTGCAGGTTCGCGATCGGAGGGGGCTGGAAGGCGTTGCAGTACGGCGACTCGATGACGTACTCGGCCTGCGTGTTGATGGCGCCCAGGATCAGCTTGAAGATGGCGGGATCTTTCTTGGCCAGCGCCTGGTAGGGTGAGAGCTGGTTCGTGCTGTCGCGCAGCCACTCGGCAATGATGTCGCCCGTAATGATGAAGGACTGCGGCCCCTCCCATTTGCCCTCGTCGCGCAGGCTGCGGCCCTTGAGATCGACGAATCTGGTATCAGTCCCATCCGTATGGAACTTGACAGTGGTGTCTGTCGTGGAAGGGAACGCGTTCTCGAATAGTCTGGCCAGGTCGGGGTCCTTCATTCTGGATGTGACGTCCTTGATGACCTGCTCAATGGCATCGGAGTGGAAAGTACGGCATCGTGGATCGGGTCGTTGGTAGGGCAGGCCAAGGGGGCCTTCGCTCAGGGGCTTACTAGCGACACACACATAGTCTTAGCATTTATTCGTGGCCTTAAGAGGAACGGCCAAGGCCAGAGTCGCAAACTCACTGGGGGTATGTGGAATACTGCGCATAGTTTGGACATGCTTCGCGATCCTCGCCAGTCAGAGGTTCTTGCGCCGCGTAGGTCTGGCCGACCAGCAGACCCAGGGGTAGCAGCAGGTCAAATACTGTGCGTAAGGACATGGCTGCGAGAGCAATGTTGCCTGGCAGGTAAAGGCACGGGAGGGAAAAGAGAACAAAATTTGAGTCTATGTCCGCATGGGTATCAATCGCCGAGGAAACCCTTCGCAGTGCAGAGAGATCGTGGCAGGGTCCAGCAACAGAAACAAAAAAGCGATCGTGTTACGAAGCAATGTGCGACGTTGGGTTGACGCGGAAAATAGGACGAGGAGCTCCCTGCCAGCCAGGTGTCCGCTGCGTTTTTTGGGGGATGCCGCAGCGTCACTGTGGTCCCTTGCAGGAGCTCTGACCGGGGTTGCGTATTTTAGCGTCGCATCTTGACGACTCAGGCCCACTGCGGGGTGACGCGGGGCGACCTCCGGCGTCCGTGCCGCTCCCGGGCCGGCGCTGTTTCTCCTAGTCACGCCAGTGCTATTTCAACCTCTGTGATCTAGAGGCAGTAATTGCCCGCAGTTACAGCCAATAAGAGATCCATTGGTAACAAAATCGTTGGACAAATCGCGGATATCTGCATGTGACAGCTTGCTTTACTGTGGAACTCTAGAGCTTATCTTGTAGACAACGTTTCTCTCCTTTTTCTTTCATGCCAAGTCTCCATCAAGCCTCTTGACATGGGCCCCCAAAATCTTTCCCCGGCATTCATTTCTTGCCAAAGAAGGACATGATGTTGCCCTGTCCCTTTGGAGCAGGCTTCTTCGGCTTCGCAGCTTGGCTTCCAGAACTTGGCGCAGATGAAGTCTTGGCCACCTTTGCGGGAGGCGGGGGTGCCTCGTCTTCTGAGAACTCTTCCCAAGCAGGTTCCTGGATAGTGACTAGTAGACTGTTGTTAGCTTTGAGAAAACTCAAGGGAGTATTGCCAAACTTACCAAGGTAGCCCTGATCGTCCATAATCTGCTTCTTCTTCATGACTCTCCGCTTACCACGCCGACGGCCGTCGCCTGTGCTAGAAACGACTTCCGCTGGTTCAGGTTTCGCTTCTGGCTCGGGAGCCTCCTCCAATGGCTCATCCATCGGCTCGTCCTCCTCCTTCTCTTCGGGCTCTTCCTCTTCCTCGCTCTCTTCCATCATCAATTTCAGCTCAGCCTCGCGGTCCTTTCGCGACTTTCTTCCAGAATTGGCAGGGGCTTTTGCGGCGGGAATGTCTTCATCGTCATCCTCGCCATCATCAGATAGTGCGGGCGTCTCGACGGGTGCCGGTTTCGGGGCCTCTTTCGGCTTGCTTGCAGCCTTGGCTGCGGCTTTGGCAAACATGCCCGAAATGCCAGACGAGCCACTCTTCTTTAATGCTGGTGGCGCCGCGCCCTTCTTCGTTGCCGCCGTGGACGTGGGTGTCTCTGTGGTTTGCGTCTTGGTCTCTTTCTTGACAGGTACTTCTGCCTTGGAGTCAAGGGCTGCGGGCTTGACTGCGGGAGGTGCTACCTCCTTCTTGATAGGCTTGGCCGCCGGTGCTGGAGCAGCAGGTGTAGGTACTGGTCCTCTTCCTTGGCGGGTGCGTTTGCGGACATTGGGATTGGTGATGGTACCGTATGTCTCTGCCATGGATGCACTCTCATTCGTCGACTGCTCCTTGATTTGTTGATGAACGTCTGCTAAAAGTTGCAAGTCCTGGGGCACTGGTCAATGGTTGTCACTAGACGGAGGAGAATAAAGGCTTACTCTGGTAGGATGCCTCGCCAAACTGTAGATATGGAATGAGGTCACCTCTTCGTAAGTGGCCAGAGTGTCTAAGAAAGGTCAGTAATGTGAGAAAACAGTGGAATAAGAAGCTTCTAATTACCCTTTAGGAGGTCGCCAGGGACAAGAGACATGGAGTGGGTGACAACATCTTCAGGAGTTTCGACATCAGGGGGAGAGCTGGCCATTTCAATATCGCCATCATCTTGGACCTTTTGTTGTGCTGGTTGGGTTCCATAGATCAGGTAGGTTGCATGGATTGTGCCAGGGCGCATCCCATTCTGTGACCGGTGGAAGTCATAGAGCATTCTATCAAAAGGTCAGCAGCTGTTGCACTAGTCAGTGGAATGAAGCTCCTTGAACTGACCCTTTTGCTGTGTTAACATGAACCTTGAGTGCCCGGCTGAGGCTTCGATATGTGACCTGGGATATTTGTGAGCACCAGTTTGACGGCCATCATGGGAATGTCGTAGCTTACAATTTTCTCCTCACTCAGGATCTGGTCAGCCAGATACTTTTTGTATTCCTCCATGGTAAAGTTGTCTGATTGTTCTCCCGATAAGACTTGAAGTGGCCCAATGTGAAGTGACTGGAGCTCGTCAAAGAACAAGGCGACACCTTTTGCAGGGAGTTGTCACGATGATTCCCTGTGAAGAAGGTACAAGGTGGTGAGGGACCTACCTGCTCTGAGAAGACGCGTCGGGCCAAAGACAAAGACGCGACCCCACTATTTCTTCTTAATTGATTTTCTGCGCACACCCCCCTGCTGGGGCCATTCAGGAGAGTGCGATTGGTGACGTTATCCACTAATTCTACACCTCCCGGTCTTCAAATCCCTGACACTTTCCCAATGAGCGCGCCACTCGACGCGACTTTCCCATCCTCTCCAAAAGCTCTCTGAAGCCTTTGCCTCTGGACATCCTTGTTACTATTGCCCGAGGTCTTTACTCAAATCGTCAGCTCAGACACCCAAAGTCTTTTCCAAGCGACTTGTGCCTCGAGAGTACCGATCGCCGACGAATATACATACATATACTTACTCACGCTTGACTTCTGTCACGAATCCCCCAGTCCAGTCGCCCATAATGGCAGACAAATTCGAGGACGTCCCAGACTCAACAGATTGGCTCTCTACACCCCTCCCCGCTCTCTCAGCAGTCGAAGCCTCCTTACGATGCCAGGTCTGTAAGGACTTCTTCAAGACACCAATGGTCACATCATGCTGCCATACCTTTTGCTCCCTCTGCATCCGTCGCGCCTTGTCCAACGACGGCAAGTGCCCTCTCTGTCGGGCTTCGGACCAAGAGTTGAAGCTGAGGAGTAATTGGTCTCTCGAGGAGGTTGTCGACTCGTTTGTCAAGGCCAGGAAGGATACGCTACACTTTGCTAGGACGGCGGGCCAGAACGACCAGCGAGAACCCAGCGGCAGTGTGGCCAAGAGGAGGATGGCTGAGGAAAGCGGCGACCAGCAGCCAGAGACCAAGCGCCTTAGGAGTTCGGCGAGGCTCAGCAGGACTAGATCTGGACAGGCAGCCGCCGCGCCCGTACATGAGGTCGATGAGGTTGACGAGATGGAGGAAGTACAGGAGGACAACGAGTCAGAGGACGCAGATTTCGGTAAGACAATGCCCTTCTTTACCAAGCGCTTCACTTGACCACCCTTCTAACACATATCGGTCCCAGCTCCCGAGGATGGTCTGGTCCCATGCCCCATATGTAGCACCCGCATGAAGGAAGCCCAAGTCTTCCGCCACCTCGACACCTGCGACGGCTCAAAACCACCCCCACGACAACATACAGCCCAAGCCCGCACAAGCGCAAGCCGTACCCCGACACCAAACACACCCGCCCGCGGCGCCGGCCCCAGCAGATCGCATCCGGCCCCCGAACGCCTCCCCGCCCTCGCCTACTCCATGCTCAAAGACGTCGCCCTGCGCAAAAAGATGTCGGATCTCGGTCTCTCCGTCACAGGCGGGCGCGTCCAACTAGAAAAGAGACATAAAGAATGGGTGACGCTGTGGAACGCGAACTGCGACTCGGCGCGACCGAAGCGGAGGACGGAGCTGCTGCATGACCTCGACGTGTGGGAGCGCACGCAGGGTTCCAAGGCAGCCATGTTTGTGAAGCCGGGCGTCGCGGTCAAGGACAAAGAATTTGACGGCGTGGCCTGGGCGGCAAAGCATGATACCTCGTTCAAGGATCTAATCGCAAATGCGCGCAAGTCCAGAGCGCAGGCCAAGCCGAAGAGCGAGGAAGAAGAGGAAAAGGAGACAGCTACTCCAAAGTCAGAAGATGGCGGAGCTGCCTCAGCAGAGACTGGTGCTCCCAAGCTGGATTCAGAGAGGAGTGACGCGGCGGTGATTGATCTGACAGAGCAACCAAGAGATACCTCCAGAGAAGGCGGCGTAGACGAAGCTCCCCCGGGATCCATGATGCAGGTCGACAATCCGGCACTCAAACCGCAGGTCCCAGCATCGACGTATTACCTACAGGACGGCTTTTCAGAGCCTCAGATACCCAGCGGTCAGGAGGCGCGGTGACATTCAGCGTGGTAATTGCATGACATAGCGCTTTCTTCGTTACTATACCCTGCCGACTGTGAGATATACAGACTTTGCTTCAATACAAAACCCAGCAAAGAAACGCCGTGATCTGAACCCTATGGTTCATGAATACAAATGCGTGATGAGACCCCGACGTGATATGATGCCAGCCATCCCTTTCACTGCGCAGGCATCGGCTTCTCCCGCTCTCTCTCCCTCTCCTCGAGCCCCATCCTCTCCAAACTCTCCGCCGTCTCCCCCGTCGGCGACTTGGCGTCCTGCCTCTCAACAGGCTCCGCAACAGGCGTCTTCAAATCCGCCATCTCGGCCTCAAGCCTCCTCCTCGTCTCCTCAGCCTCCCTCTCCTCCCTCGCCTCCCTCTCCTTCCGCTCCGCCGCCTCAACCTTCTCCCTCTCCTCGCGCTCCATAGCCTCAAGCTCCTCATCCACCTCGAACTCATCCACCACAGGCGCAGCACCAGCCTCGGAGATGATCTTGCCCACCTCGTCCACCTCGCCCATCTGCTCCCGCAACCGGTCCACCACGTCCCCGACCCGGTCCGCGCCGCCGACCTTCTCGTTGAGCCCCTTGAGCGCGCCCGCGCTCGCCTCCATGACGCTGACGAGCTGGACGTTGTCCCGCGCCTCTTGTATCCTCGCCGCCACGTCCTCGAGCTGGTTCAGCGTCGCGAAGCGCTTCTCGAGCGACGCTTCGGTCATTTTTTTCGACTTGAGCGCCGCCAGCGCGGCAACCTTGTTCTTTTTGACGACGGCTTCCTTGGCTGTTGCCGCGAGCTCGTCCACGCGGGATGTGAGGAGGGCCGTCTGCTGCTTCATGTCGGCGATGAGTTCCTTTAGCGACGAGACGGCCGCGTCTTCCTCGGTTATCGTCGTCTCGTCCTCGTCCGTGCTCGATCCCTTTATCCTGACAACCTTCCCGTCGTAGACCACGATCCCCTTGTCCCGTGAGAGGAAGACCAGCAAGATATCCACGTCCGTCTCGGATAACCTCCGATCCTGCACCAGCGCATCCGCAAATGTCTTTTGGAAATGCGTCTTCGTATACGTCCTGTCGAACCTTGAATCCGCAGAGGTAACCCTCTCCGCAAGGCTCTTCGCCGTCGCCTCGACATTCCTCAACACCACAAACCGCCCCTGCGGAACCCTGTCCTCGCCCGAGGTAGACTTGCCTGCAAACAGCTGTCCCGCCGCCCACGAGACCACGCTCCACGGCACCTGCGCCCACGTCTTACCCGCATAGATGCTCTCCTTGGCCTTTGTGAACTCGTCGAGCGGGTACAGGTCCTTGTCGGCGACGGCCTCCCTGACGACGGTGCCGAGCGCGAGCGGACGGCCAAACTGTTTACTCTCGAGGGACCGCACGAGCTGCTCGTCGACGTTGACTACCAACAGGTTCGGCGCCGAGAGCTGCGAGGCGATGCGGCCTTCCCACGCTGCGCGAGCGAGGGCTTGGCGCCAGGCGCTGACGTTGGCCTGGAAGCCATCTGGGTTCAGGGTTCGTTGGGGGCGGAAGTCGGAGTAGAGAGCTGGCAAACGGGCCCTGCGCAGGCAAAGGCATTAGTATACGGCTGGACTCGGAGCTTGGGGGATGATATGAGTGAGCGAGTGAGAGAAACACGAACTTGCGAAAGTTTTGGTCTCTTTCGACGAGAAAGTCGGCGAGCTCTCCCATATTGGCCGAGTGACGTCGGGGTCTGTCGAGAGACTTCACAATAGGTTGTGTCGAATGTCGAATGTAGCTGCGTTTCGACCTCGGGTCGGCTGGAGGGGGGATCTCCTCAAAAGGTCCCAGTGACGAGGGGGAGAAAGTAAACTTCGAACGAGCAAAAGAAAAGGCAATCAGGAATAGGTTCAAAATAGGACTGTCGTGCTCCGCAAGGCCTAGAAACTCCCCATCGAGCTCAAACGAAGTAGGAGAGAAGCAATTGGTTTGGCGGGACAGTGGGGGAAGCTGCCTTATCGGCGTGGGCTCAGCAGTCTTTCTCCTATCGGTTGCCGGTGAGATCATTGCTGGGTCCAAGGGTCCCCAGTGACAACTGACAAGTGTGTCCAGGTGCCTGACCTCGAGCAGGGGATTAGCGCAGGTACGTACTGACCACTACCTTGGCGTAGAAGATGCCACCAAACGACATTTACACAAAACTTGGGCACCAGGTCTAACTACGAGCAAGGCAGTTAATGCAAAGAGGGAGGAACGATGGCTTCAAGACGGATACCTTGGATTAAATGAGAATTTGGGGTATCAAACGAAGAAGGAGCAGGCATGGCTTCTGGCTGCATGCCTTACTTTGTCTGCATTCTACTATAATTCGTCCTGACCAAAGAAATGAACAATCACAGTGCAAGGACAACAATACTGAAAAGAGGCAGCGACAGTGGTTGTAAATGCTATTAATCCGCTTCGTAAACGCATCTACTAATCACTTCTTTCGCCCATCGCTGCACCTCCGCCACTCCAACCGATCCAAGTCGTGTTAGCCAAACTCGTCTTGCACCGATCCGTCACCCTTCTCTTTGACGGGTGACACAACGTCATGCAACGGCGCAGTCTCAAGGCTTGCGACAGGTGCTCCTCCACGACCCATCATGCTAGTTCTTCTTGACCTGAAATCCATAGTCTCACTCTCTTCAACGAGGACTTCCTCCACGTCTTGTGATGGGGACTCGTCGCCTCCATTTCCATCGTCCACATCGAGCTTCTCATCGAGCTGATGCTGTAGGCCAGCCACGAATTCGTTGGCAAGGCTGAATTTGGAGACGCCATTTTCGTGCGGAAGCTCCGAGTAGATCCGCGAGGCTTCATTGAGACACCGCTGGGACTGTATGTACTTCTGTTGCAGATCCCATGCCTCGCCGCCGAGGATACACCACATGGCCGACTTTCTCTTCCGGTGGCCCCACGAGCCTGAGCCGACGCCCGGTTTTGAGGCGTAGCAGACGGCGAGTCGCTCCTTCATGAGAGCATCGCCGACGGGGCCGAGGATCTTGGAGTCGAGGAGGCGGATGCCCCATCTCACAGCGTCGTCAACGCTACTGCCGCCCCTAAGCCGCAGAAGCTCGATTCCGAGCGTCAATGATCTCAGTGCCCCAAAAGGGGAGCTGCAACGTGTGTAGTAAGAGTAGAAGGCGGCTTCCAACATCTGGTCGATCGTTTCGGCGCGGGATTTGGAAGGCAGATTTTGCGGCATGATAAGGAGACTGGCGGCGGCCATCTCGTTGGCTGCCGCGTGGTACTTCCAGGCCTTTGCGTCGCTAAAGTCGGACCTTAGGAGATCATATGTTGAGTGCGCTAGTTTCCAGTCCCGGAGCATGAAGGCGAAGTCGGCTAGCTTTCGCATGATGGCTTCTGAAGCATCTGGTCGGTAGAATCCGAGCGCGTCATAAGCGCTTGATGACCCGCTACCTCCCACGACGGAATTCCTTGAGCTACTGCCGAAGCCTCCCCATTTCCGCGACAGATTCATGAACCTTCCCGTAATTCCTCTTCTACGAGATGCGACTTGATCGTTCCACAGCGACACATGGCGCTCCATGGTAGGTATGATAGACTGCGTAACCATCTCTCTCACAAAGGTGCGAATCGCCGTGGCATCCGACTCGAAGATGTATCTTGTCGGGTCCTCAAAGTCTTCTCGTTCCTCGCTGTTTCGGATGTCCTTCAGTTCTTCGGCTGCCGACATCCAATCGCTCCGCGGCAGAGGTATGCTATCGTCATCGGTCTCTGCGCTCTGCGTGCTTCTCAACCGCAGCAAATGGCAGTGTAGGCCGAGATGACGCTTCATTTGGTCGAATAAGGCCAGTGAACGGGTGACGTCGTCGCGCTCTTCATCGTGTACCAACACGTAGTATCGAAGATAGTCTCCGTCTACCCACACTGGCAGTCTGTTCTCCCCAGTGCTCGTGTCATTGTAAAGTTTGCGCAGATCTTCTATCGGTGATGGACTCCGCGAGCTGATGGCAATCACGCAGGCCACTGGATGCGCAAAGGTCTCGTGAGGTGACACGGGTATGCCCGATAAGAGTCTCCGCAGGTATAATGAGTAGTATGGGGAAGTAGCCTCCACGTCCAGGCCCTGTCTCGTCAATCCGTGGTGCGGGGTGTTGAGGAATGACTCTTCAGCGTAAGACAGATGGCTGTCCACCACCGCTTCAACGTCGTCGTAGTGGCTCTTCGATTTTGAGACAGATCCGGCTTGTCCGTTGGTCGCCGCAGATTGCGTGCCTTGCGAAGCGTTCGAACCAGGGTGCTCGATGTTGTCTCCAAACTTGGTGAACCGAACCGAGTAGTCCTCCCATGATTTACTCGCACCGTTGCTGTCTCTGATGGTGACCTTGCCCTGCACCTGTTCTCCGAAAGGGCGCAGAAGCTCCCACAATCCGTTCTTGAAACCCTTGTCGGTCGCGAGCTCCTCGGTATCTGGCGAGGCGTAAATCGCAACATGGGGGACATAGGCTTTCATGATCAAGTTACGCGGATCGCCGGGGCTGTCGGAAGCATTCTCGATGAGCGAGCGAGCTGCTGGTCCGCCAAAGACAGAGCCGGACATTGTGCTTCGGGCCGGGGAGCCTCGTCCCATGGGAGACCCTGAGCGTGATCCGGGAGGCGTCAAAGTGGAAGCGAAGAGCGGCGCGACAGAGGGGTTGGATCTTCGGTATGGTAACGTGACCTCGGATTGTGCCAGCGGGTGGCCTTCGGGAACAGACTGCCTCTTGGGCGGTCTTCCAGTCGAGGCGGCCATGGGCATGGCGGGGAGCGACTCGATTGGCGAGGCCTCATTGTCCGGGGACTGCATGACCAAGGCTGCGTGAGGCGTATCAGTCGGGAATGACCGATACCCTGTGCCTTGATCTTGTCAGATGAGTAGAAGCCAGTGGCTTATATATCGGACGTTCGGTGATGTTGGAGCATTCGTAACTCCGCCGGATGGCTTTGGGCGTCGTAATTAGTAGGGGGCTCGGCGGTGGATCGCAAAAATGAACGAATGTTCGGCGCAGTCTAAAACTTTTGAGAAGGGGTCAGCAAACATGGAAAGTGTGAAGCAGGAGAGAAAAAGATGGCGTACAAAGACTGGCTCCGCGACGATGCCACAGTTGTACTGTACGCTGCAGCTGGCCTAATTACAAGCCAGAAGCCGTCATTGTCAGGTTCGCGCGAGAGAGAGACCACTCAACCCTCCGATAAGTAACTAGCGCCCCGGTCACATGCACGTCCATTCGTGGAAGGGACGAGGGAGAGTGGGGGGACCCTTGTCGGTCCGCGGCCCCTGCTTTTCTGGCTCTGGTCCATCAAGGTCCGTGCATCTTTTCGATGTGCAACGACGTCGATACCTCAGTCTTAGCTTACCTGTGATATCTTGAAGTATCATAGCTCTTCTCATTACCACCAAAACCACCCAAAACGAACCCCCATTTTCAACCTTCCCGTGCCTGCACAGGCCATATCCGACAATGCCTTCCGACCTCTCATCATATCTTGCAAAGAACTACTTAGTAGCAGATCCGAAACCCACCAAGAAGCGCAAGCGCAAACAACCCACCGAGACCCAAGGCCTCATCATCGCAGACGACGACGACAACGGATGGGGCAACTCCACCGCACAAGACGACGACGCAGAATCAGGACCGGCCCTCGTATCAGGGACCTCAGCAGAGTTTAGAAAGACGAAGAAATCAAATTGGAAGACGGTCGCCGCATCCTCGAAATCACAAGGCGGCGCCGGCGCGGGCAACAATGAAGACGACGACAGCGCCGCAGCAGCAAACGCGATCCTCGCCTCAGCAGCAGCAGAAAATGCAGCAGCACGAAACGCAGACGACGAGATGCCCGTCATAGAAGGAGGAGGCGACGACGACGACGACGCCGCCGCCAACGTCGTCAAAATGAGCGACGGCACACACGCAGGCCTGCAATCCGCCGCCGCCGTCTCAGCACAGCTCCGCCGCCGCCAGCAAGCCGAAGAAGCCGAGTTCGCGAAACTCCGAAAACACGGCAAGGAAGAGGAGACGGTCTACCGCGACGCCACGGGCCGGCGCGTCGACGTCTCCATGAAGCGCGCGGAGGCGCGCAAGCTCGCGCTCGAGGCCGAGGAGAAAGAACGGCAGGCAAGGTTGGCGCCCAAGGGCGACGTGCAGCTCGAGAACGCGCGGAAGCGCAGGGAGGCGCTCGAGGACGCCAAGCTCATGACGTTTGCGCGGACGGCGGACGACGAGGAGATGAATAACGAGCTCAAGGAGCAGGAGCGGTGGAATGATCCCATGGCGCAGTTCTTAAGCGACAAGACGGGCGGCGGTGGTGGTGCAGGGGCAAAGGGTAAAAAGGGGAAGAGGCGGCCGGTGTATGCTGGCGCTGCGCCGCAGAACCGGTATGGCATCAAGCCGGGGTATAGGTGGGACGGCGTCGACAGGAGTAACGGGTTTGAAGGGGAGCGGTTCAGGGCGATTAATCGCAGGGAGCGGAATAAGGGGCTCGACTACGCCTGGCAGATGGACGAATGATCGCGCTAGCATGTCGACATTTGGTTCGGTTAAGACACCGGAATGCGATGGATTCAAGCATTGGATATCCCATGATATTTGCGTTGCAGTCACAATCAAAGTGATGGTTCAAATTTGAGCCTGCATCATTTTGAACTTCGAAATGAAAATGACATATAATTTCGTTCGGGGAGCAAGAACTTGACTTCATAGCGTAAAAGAGACCCGAAGAGCATGTTCATTGCGGTCTCGAAAGGCGTCCTGCTGGCTTGACGTCTCTCTTCTACTATTGGCTGAGATGTGTTTGCTCGGGTGCTTCTCTCCTCTTAGAATATCTGGTTCGCGTTTGCGACTCTCATTGAAAATCTTCAAAGATGACTAATCTCGCCCGAGCCATGTACGCCCTCCTCGAAAAACAAGCTGTGCTCATTTCACTTATACAACTTTTGTGAGATAATCCAAGGTACTCATTTATGGGTGACACGTCGGCGCAGGACTCTTCGCCGACGAATTCCATCCTAATGATGGAGCAATCGCTAGCAGAATCTACAATATTGGCTTTCCCGCCTAAGGTCTGCGACGAAGGATCTTGTCGGATCCGTAGGCACAGTTCTCCTTGACAAGCTTGATCCATTCCTTGCGATCCATCTGGCCAGGGCCATCGCCGATGCGTCCCTGGAATCTTCTCATAAGGTTACCAATGCTGATACCGCCAGGGAGCTCAGGAAGGGCGTCAACAATCTCGTGAGCTTGAATGGGGCCACGGGGCGCGGGCGATCCCTCGGGAACTGGTGAACCGGGCTTGGAGCCTATAAACTGCGTTAGCATGTACTCCAAAAATTGAGGAGCGCGATCCATGTGCATACCGGATGCGGCCGGGACAGGACTACCGGCCCTCGAGCCGACTGGCGTGCCTCTTGCTCCGCTACCAACGAGCTTGATCTTCTTCTTCCTCAACTGGCCGTCTGACATCTCTCCTCCAGTTGCCTCGCCGTCGCTCATGGCACCCTTGAGGTGGCTCTTCAGGCCTCCTGAAGGCGTAGACGAACGGCTCTGGTGGACAGAAGCCGCGGCATGCTTCTTCAGCTTCTTCCGAGAGGACTCGTTGCCACTAGATTCCGACAAGTTGGGAGAGCCGGGACGCTTCAGAGACTTGCCCTTCTTAAGAGCATCGGTATGTTTCTGTCGGCCAGACGGGGTAGTGTTACCCTTGGAAGAAACGCCCGACGCAGTCTTATCTTTGGAGTCTCCGTCCTTGTCCTTGTTCTCTTCATCTTTGTCCTTGTCCTTCTCTTCTTCCTTCTTCTTTTCCTCGTCGGAATCATCGTCGCTCTGTGCATGTGATTAGTAAAAAAATAAAATGACAGCTTCTCTGAGCATCTTACAGATGAAGACTCGAAAGGATCGTAGCCACTCGAATCCGACTGGTAGATAGTCTCCTTTTCTCTCTTGATGAGTGCCTTGGTGGTTCGCTTTCCCTCTTTGCGGCGCTCCTCCTCGGCTTTCCTCATTTCGTTCAGCTCCTTTTCTACTCTGCGCTCGTCGGCCTCGCCAAACAGATTGGCGCCCATTTGATCTCGGCGAATGCGATCGGTAGCCTCTTTGGTATCCTCGTCATTGTCCACGTCTAAGCCGGGATTCTCGTCATCGTCCTGGAACTCGTCGCCTTCCATGTCAATTTCGTCATGGTCCTGCTTTTCTTCTCGAGAAGCAGCTCTGAAGGTGCTACTTTCTGTCTTGATTCTCGCAGGTCCGTACAGAGCATGTCTGGTCGCCTCCCATTCATCTTGCTCGCTCTTCTTTTGCTTGTCACGCATGTACCATCGGCCGATGTCTGTCTTTTTACTCATCAAAGCCTCGGCTTCTTCAAGCCTCATGGTATTGAAATGGGGCTTCGCAGTAAATTTGTACCACTTTTCCAAAGGTATCGCCGCGAATTTGCCATCTCTAGTAGCAACAAAGCAGACGGTGGTCTCGGACAGAGGCGCGACGTATGATCCGACCCAGACGTTCTTGCCATCTGCGTCCTCTAGGTGCCAAGGGAGCGCCTCCTCGTATCGCAGGCCCTGTTGCTTCTTCTCTTTCTCCGACCGAGGCTGGCGGTGGAACTGGACATCCTTTTCCTTCTCCTTGGGCTTGGGCTTTTTATCAAGACTAGGATCTTTCAGACTGGGTGCACTCTTAGCGAGTTCCACAGCTCGAACAGCCTCACGTTCGGCCTTGAGCTGTGCCAAACGCTCGGCTTCCTTTTCGTCAACGGGTTGTGGCTCGGGCTCTTCGTGCTTGACCTCGCGTCCGGGAGGCGGTTGTCGTGGATCGCGACGTTGAAGCGTGACAGGTCGGGTAAATTCATCTTGGTTTGTGGGATCAATGCCGTTCCTTTCGAGCTCGGCCTTGGCGGAAGAGAGTTTCATAACGTGATGTCTGACACCATCTTTCAACGCTTTTTTGGTCGTTACGATCTTGAATTCCCTGACGTTCTGGGGCGCGGGATCGAGCCAGCCGCCGTTTGCCGCTCTCTTCGCTCTGATATCTTCCTCGGTTTCGGGTCGCTGAAGGCCGTGGTGACCTGTTCCACCGGCAGCTGGTCGGGCTCCTGAGGCGGTTTGCAGCGAGCCTGGAGGGGGACGCGAGGCAGCCGGTCGTGGAGCTCCAGGTCGCTTGCGGGCAACAAGGGGATCGCCTTTGGGCCGTCGCTTGATCGGAGGGGGACGAGGCTGTCCAGGCTGTCCTGGTAGGCCATTCGGGTTTTGGCCGTTGGGCAGACCTGGTGGCGGCGCGCTCATGCTGTCAGCGGGCGCGCGAGAGTCGAGAGCGCTTCCTGCAGGCTGTTGTCTCGGGAAGATTCTAGTGAGCGACGCTTTATTTCTCCGTCGTCAAGCAGTCTCTGTCAAGTGCAAGTCAGAATCGTAGGCAGGAATGAGGCTTGCCCAGATGTCTAGGGCCGCGGCGCAAGAGAGAATAGCTGGTGACGGTAGACTCGGTGATGCGACCGAAGGTTGGATATCAATGTTCGCCAGAAAGTCTCGAGGACTAGCTTGATCGGCGGTTGTGTACTCGCGAATTGATAAGTACGGATGGATTGGCGAAGGTGAAGAGGTCGAGGTGATGACAAAGAGCATGCCCGGACGATGAAGTGCATGCGGGAGAGGAGGATTGGAAGGCGCGCTCAGAAATCAGGCGCACTTGCCTAGGCAGCTTGGAGAGCTTGCAGAAAAGCTGGGCGGATACCGTGCTAAGGTAAGGTACCTTGATTGTAGTTTGCCGGCAAAAGCTTGGTGCGCGGTACATTTGTAGCCAATGAATTGACCAAAAGTAAGCCCAGCGTGCTAGTACTCTTTCTGGGCGGGCCATCCTCAGTGCCTCACAATTCGCCAGTGGCTGTGGAACCGCATCTGGAAAGGGCGAGCCTCACTGTGGTAGGACGTCATTGGGATGGCCTTACTGTTCTTAACTTGCCGTACCTCAACTAGTAGGTACCGTAGCTTCAATAGCAAGGACAGATGTCGCAATAGATAAGATACCTAGCTTTCCTTCAACTACTTTAAGGAATTAATCTTACGTGCGTGCAGAGTGCCCCTGGCTCGAAGCACGACATCAATGCCTTATATCTATTGAGTATTAATAGGATGTTCAGCCTCGACAACGTCAACCGTTATCAAAATGCGTGCCCTTGACTGGCCCATATATTTGCACCAACCCAGACAATAGTTACAAATCCAGACATCACGGCATCCAAGATAGGGGATTTTGCTGTTTTCTGCTGTAAAGGGGTGAATAGGAGAATCCAGTCAATGGCTTCACGAGACCGTGGAAGGCCATGAAAGATGTGAGATAAATAGTAAGCATCCAATTCATTCCACAAATCTTGGTTTTAGCTATCCACATAGAGGTACTTGCGGTACCTTACCTCACAGTCCGCGGGGGGCAGTATCTGTACAGTGAGAAACCGACTGCATGTACCCATTGTCGTACAGTGCGTCGCAAGTCTGAGACTGTAGCCCCTCACTCCGGAATGTACCTGCTTCCCCACGTAAAGCTTCCACCTCACTTGAAGTTCCATTTACACCACCTACCTACATGAATGAGGTGATCGCCAATCGGAAACTGAATACAAGCTTCCCAATCACAGCACTCTTACTCACCTCCGTATCTATCCTCCAAATCCCCAATCCTCTGCATCCAACTGTCCAAGCCATGCGTCCCGGACGTGTCTGACCAGGTAAGTGCTCTGCGCCTATTTTCAGTGCACCCATCTCATCAACTCTCACAGAAGCCTTACCCTTCCTTCAGCTGTATCCAACTCATCGTATTCGATGATAACATCTTCAAGCAACAATCACCATGAATAATAGCACCAGAAATTCCGGCATGGGCCAGTTTGGTGGCTCTCAAAACAATGGGCTCGAGGATCAGTTGCGAAACATGATTCTCACCAACGGTACTCCAGCCACCGGCCAGCCTCAGGTTCAAGATGCCCCGCGAACAACCGCGCACTTTCCCGGTGGCGGAACCCCGGCGAATGGACCGAACGATCATCTTCAACCCCATGGAGACCATCCCGAAGCTTCAGCCGGAGTCAATGGCAAGCCACCACCCTCGCCCAAGGTGGGCAGAAAGCGACTCAACCAGGCGCAGAGACGACAGATGAATGCTCAGTTGTCCATTCCCATTGACACTCGCCCCTCTCCGCCCACCGAGGCTGGACGACCCTACACAGGCTGGCCTTCTCCTTCTTACCCTCACGAGAATCCTAGATTCCCCTCTCATGGACGACCAGGCAAGACGTATCATAATCCAGACCTGCACCACAGACCGCATCACCTTGCAGGCGGCATGTCGCCTCGCTCCCCCAGACAGAACGGACATCGAAACCTCGTCAACTCTGAACGATACCAGCATGATCAGCACCCAAGTGGTCAGCAAGAGCACGGTTCACCGCGTTTTCCACGGAACAATCATGGCCAGCTTTACAGCCCCCGTGGTCAACACCACCCAGTCCGGCCCGAGGAGTTGGAGAA